TCCTCCTCCTCCTCCTCCTCCTCCTCTCTCTCTCTCTCTCTCTCTCTCTCTCTCTCTCTCTCTCTCTCTCTCTCTCTCTCTCTCTCGTGTGTGTGTGTGTGTGTGTGTGTGTGTGTGTGTGTGTGGGTGGGTGGTACATTAAATCTTTTTTAAAGACTCAAAATAACATAAAGTATAATATAAAATATAAATAATAAAAGTATAAATGATAAAAGTATAAATAATATAAAGTAATATTAAACAAGTTTTACCTCCGTTTTAATCTTATAACAACCGCTAGCATCTCGGATTAGGTTTATATTTCATATCGTATTTCTTTATGACAAGCTCTTCCTCATTATTACGCAAATGTATATTGAATGTTTCTATCAACTCCTCCCTTATAAGAAAAATCATAATAATTAATATTAATTCGTTTTTAAAAAATAATTCCATGTAAAAGAAAAACAATTCTGTCGAATTCTACATCATTCAGTTTACAATAAAATTATTAACTGTAACATTATCGACTCTCGTAATAACATATCTATTTGAAATTAAGATAGATCGATACACAATTACAGAATTTTCCTCTTCGGTTAATATATCATTGAGAGTTTTAATCTATCTCCATAAGTCCATGTCAACAAGCAAGATATCATTGCAGAATCACATTGAACGCGATGAAACACGGATCATATCCCCTATGTGTAAAATATTTAAATATTCCCTCTTTCATGGAATTGCGATCTTTCGCCGTCGTTTGGTTTGTACGTCCCAAGGAGAACAGAAAAATCAAAATGTCAATTTGACATCATATTGATCAAATTTATATCAATTTTTGATCTTAATAAAAATCTCAATCTCAAATGATTTAAAAGTGACTTTATATTAACTTCTTTTTTATATAACTTCTCTTTTATATAACTTATATAACTTCTTTTTTGATTTTTGAAAATATGGTATATATTTCTCGATTGTATATATACTTATTATTATAAAAATGTATGAAATCAGTATCATGAAAATGACATAAGAATAGTCAGAAAAATGTGTGGTCATGCTTTAATCATTTAGATAACAATCTTTAAAAATTGATCTGACAAGGGAATCTTACAAATTTTAATTTAGATGGAATTTCGTATACATATATGTAGATCATGTAAATAGAATTTGGAAAATATTATTTGGGGTCAAAATAAATGGAGTGAAATCATTTCTTATATGTAAAGCAATTTTCAGCTTTTTTCGTTATGTTTAAAAAATTTTGCAAAATATAAAAAATGTTTTATATAAAAGTTTTATAATAAAAATTTACTTTTATTTATTTATATTAATATTTTTTAAAATAATTATTTTTAACATTTTTTAAAATTATATCTTATAAATTATTCAAATGTTTATAATAAAATATCAAATATTTATAATAAAATTCTCTCCATTTATTTATGTCAATAATAGTTTTTAAAAATTATTTAATTTTATAAAACTTTTATATAAATTGCATGAAACTTATATAAAACATTTGTGTTTTAATTTAATTTTGTTAATTAGTTATAATAAGCAAATTATATCTATTTGTTTATTTTTTTCATTATTAGTCTTTTTATCATTAGATATTTGTAATACAATAATGATTTTTACTATTAATAATATTAATAATTTACCCACACGGAACAAAAATCTCCAATGGACCATTAGTGTCGGTCCACAATAAGTATTTAATCTTTAAGTCGTAAGAAATTGACCAATCATAGTCGATTATTCTTTTCATATTCGATTATAATTGGTCAATTTCTTACAACTTAAATCATCTATTGTGAACCGACACTTAGAGGACCACTATGGAGGTTTATAACCTCCATTGGACGTCTACGAAACTTCCATTAAACTCCATATAGACGTCTCATAGAGGTTGTGTGGATCAATCATGGATGTTTTATACGATTTTAAGAAAGATTATAATAAACATTGGAGGCTTTATGAAAAAGTTATTAACAAAACAGTTATTAACAAAATATTAAATATATCAATTATTTTTTTATATTACATCATAATTAAAATACTAAATAAAATTTAATTGTTATAAAATAATCAGAAAAAGTTAATAAAATAAATTTTATAATGCTAAACAAAAATATTTTTACAAAGGCACGAAAGCGCACATATATGCAACGTGCAATAGAACTAATGAAATCTTTTTTATCTTGCAATGTCAGTAATATCGCATTTTTTGGGAGCCATCGTTCACCCACCTTCTGGTATACCAACTCGAACTCACTTAATCTAGTGATCGGTCAAAATCTGCTACTGAACGATATTATAAACCAAAATTGATTTTGATATAAAAATATGACAGATCTCCGATTAGTGAATGTTATCACATTGTCATATGCTTTAAATAGTTTTAATTTCAATATCCTGATTGATGTACAAGAATTGCGATATGCAATTCTTGTAGATAATTTAATTATATATAAAGTTGTGAAGATTACATATTATATGAATTTTTATTGTCACGTTTTATGTGAGAAATGTTTATAAATTTATATATTTTATTTGCTCGTTTATATATTTGTTGATCGTATTAAATATATGAGATATTTGTCTTGTTCGAAATATTGTTTTTTATGTTTGATATAATCATTTATACACAATTAAATAAGACATATGCAATAGCTACAATTAAAAATATATATTTATAAATAAATTTTTAATATATTTATAAGTATATATTCTTAATTTTTATCATAAAATAATCATTTACAAAGAGTCTAAAACCTCTAATTAAGTTCTATATATGATCCATGAAAATTTCATAAAACATCCGTACAATATAATTCATCCATACAACCTCTATGAGACGTCTACATGGAGGTCTACATGAACATTTAATGGAGGTCTAATAGAGCTTTACGGAAGTAACATGGATTTCCATTAGAGGTCCATCTAATTTCTATTATGAAAATAGATGTCACATGGAGGTTATGTAAATCTAATAGATGTCATGTTCCGTGTGAGTATAATTTAAAATGTATTTTATTTTTTCGAAGTGCATAATTGCCAAAAGTTTTGTTCAACTTTATTCTCAACTTTATTCAACTTTATTTTCATTTCTATAACAAAATTGTAATTTTGTGTAAATTTTTAATACTCGCGTCACACCTATTTATTTTAGCTGCACAGTTTATAATTACTAAAATAAATAAATATTTAATACTCACTAAAAACTGTCTAAAAAATCTGTATAAAGATTTCTGCAAATTTAAAATAATACACCCTGTTCTTTTTGGCTAAACTTTTTGGCTATACTAGTTCACAGTTTATCTTTTTTTCTCACTAGAAGAAGAAAGATAATCTCTGAATTAGTGCAGCCAGTTCAGCTAAAAAGAACAGACCCATTATAATGTAAGGGTGCCGTCCCATGGAGCGTATTGCGCGTATCGCGGATCGCGCGTATCGAAAATCTGACCAATCACTGACGTTCCGCTATTTTTATATGCAACCGCTCCGCCGAATTCATTATTCTAGCATAACTGAGCGTAACTAAAGTCTAAAAATAAAGAAATGACTGCACAGATGTTAGATTCGTTTCTACGGCAAACTTTCCGCTGTTTTCGATACGCGAGAGTTTTGTTCTTTGGTTCCATGAAGCAAAATGAGCGTAAACAAATCGACGGTTTACTAATTACAAAACTGTTTAAATGAAGGGAAATAACGAAAATCGTTTATAATTGGCTATCCGCCTGATTTGTTCCCCATACAGCGTAATTGTGTAAACTGCATCAACCAATCAAATCGTCTAATAAGAGACGGATTTGTGTAGTGTAACTGAGATAATTTGGTTGGATGACGAGTTAATGTTTACGCAAGTTACGCTGTATAGGGAACTAACCTAAGCATTGGAGTGAGCATTCCAGTATAATATAGAGTTCACTAGCATCACCTGTTTTTTCATCTGCTTGCACGTGATCGAAATTTACCGAACGGATAGCTATATGAATAAGGCCTTGGGTGCATTCGTTTACGCAGTGTTTTGTGCATCCAGTGCTTTCTTATCTGTTTGTCACGTGATCGAAATTTACCGAACGGATAGCTGCATGTGAATAATTGCACGGATCGTATTTTCCAAATTGAGCTGATTGCTTGAATAGTAAGTAAAGAGACAATTTTACATAAACTTATATTCGAATAATTAAAATGTAATAAATTTTTTTTGTAAAAAATATTTTTTCTTATAAAAAATATTTAATCTATGAATTTTATTTAAAGGTTAGATATTAATTTTTTATAAATTATATTTTATTATTATTTTTTTATTATTTTTATTTTTTCTTATTTTTTAAATTTTATCTTATTATTCTTATTTTAATTATATCTTATTATTCTTATTTTACAATATTTGAATCAATTATTTGTTTCTGATCCTTTTGGTTTCCTATTCTAATAAAATTCATTTTAATGTTTACGCAGTAGGTGTTCATTTTAATGTTCGTTTATGAATACGCACTCTGCAAGCAGAGGGTACATTCGTTTATGCAGTCACTACCACAGATATCGTTCATTTACTTCGTCTGCGAAAGTGACTCCAGCGCAATTTGTCGTTCGTTTACCAGGGATGTATCTCATCTGTGCAGCTATCTCGAAAATCCTGCTTTGGATGCTCTGCTTGCAGTATTGCGTAAACGAACATCAAAATGAATTTTATTAGAATAAGAAGCGAAAAGGATATAAAAATAAATAATTGATCCAAATAAAATAAAAATAATAAGATATAATTAAAATAAAAATAAGAATAAAAATAAAGTAAATAAAAAAATAAGAATAAAATAAGAATAAAATAAGAATAAAATAAGAAAAATAAGAAAAAATAAGAATAATAAAATATAATTCATAAAAATTAATATCTAACTTTAATAAAATTCATAGATAAAATATTTTTATAATATCCATTATTTATAATCAATTAAATTTAATATCAATTAAAATATTATCTTTTATACAATAAAAAAGTTTTATTATATTTTTCAATTATTCATATATAAATTTATGTATAAAATTGTCTCTTTACTTATTCAAACAATCGGTTCAATTTTTATATGATCCGTACAGTTATCCGTTATTCACGCAGTTATCTGTTCGATAAATTTCGATCATGTGATAAACAGATGAGAAAGCAATGGCATAAAACACTGCGTAAACGAATGCACTCAGAGCATTTAAAGTAGGACTTCCGAGATAGCTACGCAGATGAGATACATTCCTGCGTAAATGAATAACGAACTGCGCTGCAGCAGTGATGCCAGTAGGCCTATTCTCTAACTTCTTGACAACAGTGTCGTTATCGTTACATTGTCATTGCGCAGGTATAATATATAAAAAAAAAGCTGCGTAATGCCATACCTAGCTAAGTGTCGGTCCACAATAAGTATTTAATCTTTAAGTCGTAAGAAATTGACCAATCGATTATTCTTTTCATATTCGATTATAATTGGTCAATTTCTTATTTCTTAAAGCTTAAATCACCTATTGTGGACTGACACTAATGAAACTGTCATTAAGAAGTTAAGTCTAAGTCTCGGTCCACAATAGGTGATTTAAGCTTTAAGAAGTAAGAAATTGACCAATTATAATCGAATATGAAAAGAATAATCGACTATGATTGGTCAATTTCTTATGACTTAAAGATTAAATACTTATTGTGGACCGACACTAAGACACAATGAAAAGGTACAGGAAACAGGAATAGAGAATAGCAACAGACAACAGATTTCAACCAATCAGAAGCTGTG